TAATAAATTTATTATACCTGTATGTTGGCAATATTGTGTGTCATATACAAAAATAAATATTTTCTTAAAACAGCTTTCTCATCTTATGATTATACATGCTAACAAATTCAAAAGTGGTAGGATTACAAAGGGACTGATTGACCATGGCTTTTATGTTGTTTTTAAGAAACTCCCAAAATCAAGTCTGAAGGTATCAGATTTTCTGTTACTATCATCTCTGGCATATAAGAAAATTTTATGTTTGTGTATATATAGTTTGAATTAACTATTTTGCAATGGATTTGTGTATTTCATGACCTTGTAAATACTATGTATCCATAAAGGTACACATACTTTCAATCTGAAAGTACGTAATGTAGCTGCACGAAATGTGGCACGATTTCAGTAAACATTACGTCTTTTGTAGACAAAAACTCAGAATTTGTAAGTAAGTATTTTTATTAAATATTTGTCTGTAAATATATGGAGTCAGTAGAGTTGACTGTTCCAAGTTCAAAGTGATTTTCATGTTAAGATTAAAAATACTTCATTTTAAAATTTTCAAATTTCTTTACATAATCTCTAAAATCTCCTAAATAAATATCAAGCATCTGTTTTGTTTTGTTCTGAAAAGCTACATTTTATCTGTTATTTTCTCTACCATAACTCTATATAGGATCAGTTGATTTGACTGACTTTGTAACCACAATATAAAATTAGGAAATAAATCTAAATTACTATTTTACTTTCTAGAATGACTACAGATTGTAACAGGAAATCACAGTTGTTTACCTTAAATAGCTTAAAGCTACTAACAGTATACATCTGTTTAAATTTAATTATAATGTTTTATTGACTAGTAATCGTACCACAAAAGCTGTAAATCACTCATCTGCAAATGTGCAGCTCATATTACTGAATGCACAAGCTGTTTGCAAGCAAACCTCATGAAGAATTATTTTTCTTCTTTTTTTTTTCGTTTTCTTACCTTATCTAACCTGAAAAGATTCAAATTTTTCCATCTTAGTTTGTAATAATAAGTAAAGAATACACATGAAAAACAAAAAATATAGTACTTACCTGGGTCTTTTTTTTTCTGTTGACTGTTGCTGAAACTTAAGCCTGATTTTTTTATACTAATGCTCCTCCTACATTGAATTATTTATTTATTTAAATAATGCACTGACACAGAAAACAAACAAACATTGTTTTAAATGTACCATAATTTTTCTAGCTTTATAACTATGTTATAAGAGCCTTTAAAATTCAGCTAAGCTCATTGATGTGATTCCCGTCAGAACAAACTTGAAACTGAGCCCATGACAAAAGACAAAACCTTGCACAGGAAACAAAATAATACTTCATTTGATAGATTAAAACTTTGGCTTTTTGTTGGTTATTAGTTATACAGTATAAAACATCAGAGAGATCTGTTGGCAATTTGCGAATGAGAGGATGTGACAAGTGGGTTTGATTTTCTAGTTTATGGCTCCATAGACAAATTAGATTGAAGGTTATAAAGTTATACTTTGTGTGAATGATATCTATATTATAATAAGTAATTGAAGTTAAACTCTGTACTTCTTGGTGGGGTGGGAAATAAATTAGAGAAGAGGGAAGACTTAGAGAGTAAATGTCACCATTCTCATACGAGGGGAGATTGAGGATATAAAATTAATAACTTAAAAGTTAATTGATATTAAAATTTGATTTATATCTATGTTTTGATGCTAAGTTTTGAATGTAAAAGGTTTCATAAGCATGGGCAAGATTTAAATTCAAGCACTGTTAAAAATTTACTTCAGTATTCTTAAATAATGATTTTTAAACTTTTAATAGGTATTTTCACAGTTAACTAGAATTTTTGTAAGTATATATACCCTATCAAAAGTTGTTTGTGATAAACGTTTTTTATTATGTTAATTGCATTCATGATGTTAGGAAAAATATAGGTTCAAAAAATCAATTTAAGACAAAAATCCTATAACCCGAGTACTTTTGAAAAGTGGATTTTTTTATTCATCAGGGGCAAACTAGTAATGTAAGCAAATGTTTATCAAGTTCTATGTATAAATGTAATACTGCATTTATATGTATCTGTTCTTTGCTCTCTAAAAGATTCCTACTGATGGTTTGGTGTTACATGGCTGGTATCGAACAATCACATTAGCTGTTTATGGAGTTCTTACAAAAGTAACAAAAGAAAGAACTTCACCTCCACCTCCTCCTCCACAGCAGGTTGTGACCCATCCACAGGTTATAGGTAAGAGAACAACACAGTACATGCATATTTTGTGAAAAAATAAAACTGTAATTCTGATACAGTCTTACCTCCGCTCGTACAAAGCTATCTCTGTCTTCTTTCTACCCCCTAACCATTGCTAACCAAGTTTAATGCTCAGTGCACCAGTCTATATATCCCACAAATTTCGTCCCACTTTTGAACATGTATATAGCATGTGACCACCTTTCGCATATAGTTTTGTGCCACTTATATTGGTGCAGCTAGCTCCCTCTGATTTTTCTGCTTAATCCTCACTTTCTTGATTGGCACAGCATCATTTAGACGTATGTTTTTTCACATGTGACTACTATTTATGATTGTATTTGTTGACTTTTCAATAACTTTTTCAAGAGTTTTATTTTTACTGTGTTTGCATTCAATTATTTGAAATTTATTTTGCATATGTTTATTGCTACTGAATTATATCAGAACTAAGAATGACTTCACGATTCAATGTGTCAAAAGTGGAAATTCCCGTTATGGCCGGCAATTTCTTCTTATTTTCAACTTGACAATGTTTCTGTAGATGAATACAAATGAAAAATTCGATTCACTTTTTCTGGCACCTTCTTATCTTGGTCTGTTGCACTTTACACATCACCTTCCACACCCTTTTTTTTTTTTACAGCTGGTTGATCAGGTATGTGGTATATTAAATGCTTCCTTTTCCTCCTAGATTGCAGACATCATCGATCGGATATTTATGCTATTAATGATACCAAAATCCTCTACCGTTCCTCTTATGTCATTCTATATCCAGATTGGTCCTTCTTCTCTAAGACCTCTATTGCCTGAGAAGGCCGTTTGGCTTTCACACGCATTTCTTTACCTTCCATCTCCCACATACTGATCAGCTTCTTTATTGTATTCGTTCCATAAGACATTATGTGGCACGTACTGCTTTCTTTCAGGGTTCATGTCCCCAACCTTTTATTCCTGTGAACCCTTCTGTTTCCTGTGATCTATCCCCTGTCACACTAACTGGTTTGGTTTGTCAACTCCTTAGGCTGGTGTACAGACTTATCTATGGAAGGTTGCTGTCTCCTCAGCGTTTTTTCTCATCAAATTTGTCATGTCACCATGTCTTTGGCTGCTCATCTTTGCTATCATTTGGAAAAAATCTTTCAGGCCAGAGTGTGAACTACTTCCTATTCCTTTATCATTCATTATCTGCACTATCTGGCTGTATCTTTCTCAGGTAGATATCATCCCCCTTCTGTGGTGATTCTACATGCATCTGTTCACCTTTGGCTTGGGTATGTCTTTTCACAACATTTCATTTATGTTTTCTTTTCAGAGACCTTCTTTTAGTCCTACTAATAGGATCCCACTCTGTGGCGAGTGTTGCCTGGTCATGTGTGCTTTCACTTAAACCTGCACTATATACCAGTAGAGCTATAATGCCCACTATAGAGATGGGGGTGTTCTGCAAGACCACTAGTGGCATGCCTAGTAGTATATGCTTATGTGTTTCGAGGTGTCTGTAAGTTTAACTCAATGGTGGACCATCACTCATGGACTATAATAAGTAAAGCAAAAAAGGGGATTTCTGCCCATCCCTGTTGACTCTTTGATTGCATAAACTGTGGATGGTCTGCTTTTCAAAATAGGGACTCATGTACACCCACTGCACTTTCTCCAGCGTAATGTCCCTCTATACTCCCCATCACACTTACTTCCCCCCTTTTTTCTCCAAGTGGAGCATGAGAGTTCTTAGCACTTACCAGTCACTGGTGTGGTGGGCCAAGGAGGCTTCCTCCCAAGTGTGAAATAAAATTTACCTTTTAATACAACCACACATTTATCCACTCATTGAGAAGAGGGCAAAACTGGGTTCCCTCCTTCCCTTTCCAGGTGGATTGAATGTCAGTTGGAGCAGCCTATGTGGGTTCCTTCTTGTAACACCGACTTCAGGATAACACCACCCTGTTCCCTAGGTTAAATGCAGTACAGCCCCTCCCTTTCCTTCTTGTTAATTCTGGTTGTGGGAGGTTTCCGTCACTGCTTCTATGATTGAGTTTGGAAGATTTTGTCTGCCTCGTAATACCGGCAACAGAATGCACATGCACTGTTCCTATGGTTGAGAAAATTTTCCACATCTTCCTCATAATTCTGTGTGCAAGATGTGTCTTCCCTGCAATTATGGTTGGGTGAGTTAAGATTTCTGCTCTTAATACTGGTTACAGGTATTGCCGGGTTCGGTTTGCTGTACTTCTTGCCCTTACGGTGGTTTTGGGAGTTTGTCCAATTTCATGCGGTCTACATGACATAGCTACTGTGTTTATGTTACTCTAATTTTGTTTTATCTGTGTGATCCTCAAGCTCCTAATGCCGAGGATGCGTTGTGGAGCCTGATCTGTCCAGTTGAGGTTGGGTAGATACCTAGCCATGGATAGATGTTTTTTATATTGTTATATTTTGGCAAATTGTCCCTTGACTTGTCATTTCTCCTCATGTAGGTATCGAGTTTGCTTTGAATTTTTGTTTCATAGAGCAGCTCTTGCCAATGGGAGCAGGCTGTTTTCCAGTGTGATTTGTGTGATGGAGTATGATTTGAACTCACACCATTATTTACAATGGATTGCACCTCTCAGAACGAATTTAGCTTGTGCACTTTCTTTTTTTTTCACCTGTATCAGGTTCATTTCTATCTTACAGGGCAAAGAGCATACCTGGCCCAGAGTTAATGCAGTGCCCCACATGTGTGATTTGGTTTCATCTCTGAGCACTCCAGCTATTTCTAGGTGGTCACTTTCCACGTAGTTTCACAGTTATGCACCTACACTGGTCTCTCCACCTTTTCAGTGTAGGATTCTAGCTTTGTGTAAGACTGTATTCGAAATTAACACTTTCTTACACAATTAAGCTGTGACAATATAGGTGGTGCAGTACTATTGGTGGTGGGTGGTCACATGCTATATACATGTTCAAAAGTGATGTGAAACTTGCGAGGTAAATAGACTGGTGTACTGAGCATTAACAATTTTTAGCAATGCTTAGGGGCAGAAAGAAGATCGAGATAACTTTGTATTAGAGAGGTAAGCACATATTAAATTACATTTTCAGTGTAAGAAAGTTTTAACTTTCTGGCATTATGTTTTTGAGAAGAAGGCATAAGACATAATTTGGGTTTTTTGAAGTATTATTTAAAGCTATTTAGTTGGGTTTCAAAGTGCAAATTAAATGTTTAGTGGTAAACTATTATATACAGCAAGTTGTAAAATACTACTCTATGATATTATTTTATGACAGAAAAGACTAAAGTTAACCCTTTTGCAATGGGTCTGGTATAAAATACACGAGTTCGTATACACATTTGTACATGTTAAGTATTTACACTATAACTTTTAATGCTATATATGTATCTTCACAAATTTTAATACTTTTAGTAATGATTCCAAGTCTTTTGTACACAAAAAATCAGATTTTTTAAGGAAGTATTTTTACTAAAGATTTGTTTTTGAAAATATTGAGTCTGTTTCATTACTAGTCCGAATGTGAATTGATTTTCATGTCATAATTAAAAAGCTATTCTTTGTCCCAGAAATCTCAAATATTATTTGTGTAAACTCTAAAACCTTCTAAATACATTTCAAATGTTTGTTTTCAGTAAAACTTTATATTTTGTCCGTTGTGTTCTCTACCCTAACTATATGGGGTCTATCAATTTGACCAACCTTGTAATTACCATAAAAAATTAGGAAATTAATATAAATTATGCTTTTTTCATTCTAGAATGACTACAAATTATAACACTAAAACACTAATGTTTAGTCTAAATATCGTAAATCTCATAACATTATATATTTATATATATTTATTATTTTTATTATATTGACCTTTCAGTCATGCCTAGCTAACAGTACAAAAGTTACAATGCTGCATCACACATGCATTCATGTAACCATGTCCAGTAATGTAAAACTGACCTTTAGTCTTTACAAAGTGACCTATTTTGGCTGTGTTTTAGTGGACTAGTATTTTGTAAAATACAGTCACATTTCAATTATTATACATAATATATGTATATAGATTATTACTATTTACAAACAAGTTCTTAAATTTATTTTTCTTAGAACATAGAATAGTAAATGAAGAATTAAAGCAAACAACTATTTTTTCTTGTTATGACCTTTGTTCTTGGTTGCTGCTTGCTGTAGGTTACTAAGCCTTATCAAATTTTGCATGTGGAGGATGTGAAATGAAATATTTTTTTTTAGGTTTTATATATATACAGTTGAATAACCAAAAAATCATAAATTACTATATTGATACCATAGAATTACACTATACTTGGGTCTACAAAAAATATTAAAT